GTTAGTTCTATACATATGACAAACAACGAGAAAAAAGGAATGCAATAGCTAAGAGAATTTGAAAAATGAACAGAAATAGGCACCAGATTTGTAAATACCAATGTTTCGGATGACATGTATGTAATTGCCCTTATATTATCTTCAAACTCAACATCATGCTCCTATTCATCCAGTAAAAGCTAAAATCGCATATTGAACACCTCTAATTTCATTAAAGACACGTAAATAGGCATAAATTGCAAATCTAAATTCTGTCAAATAAGATGAAATTTTGTTTATTTTTGCAGCTTTTAACTACGTACGGGGGAGGCACAACGTGCTGAAAGTGAGAGGGGAGGCAGAATTCAATTCCTGCAACAAACTGGGACAAGTTCCGCCTCTGACATCGGGAAACAATTCGTTTATTTTCATCACCGGCGGAAGAAAATGGTACATTTGCGCCTTCGAAGACCACTGCCAGAGAGGAATGAAGCTTTCCATCAACGTAGAAGAAGCGGAGGCTCCCGCTCCTTCGCCCACCGACGGGTATGACAACTCGGCCGGCAATATTGCTACGTTTGGCTATTATAAATATTTGGTGGGATTGGCTGCTGTGTTGGGAGTGGGGGTTATGTTATGATGAGTGTGGGGGAATTTGTGTGGATGGCTTTGTTTATGCGTGTTTTTTTTTATATATATTTGGGTATGTGATATTGTGTGATGGAGTGAGCTGTTTATTTAAATTATTAATAAAATTCCTCTTGTTGAATCGAGTTCACCTGTTGAAGTGGTTGCCTAAGTAGCTGAATCGAGCTTGTTTATCGATCTGATCATTCTCATCTTCCTCGAAAGGACAACCTAGCCCACCTATACAAGAGCAGTATTAGACATAGTATTAAATATTATAAATATTACGCCCATCGTCAGGGCCTGCGAACGATGGCATGAATTGCATTAAACCACTGTGCGCACGGTGTAATGCGATTCAGGTCATCAACCACACGCCTGATTATCCGGACATAATATTTTTTCATTAGCTTGGTTGTTATACTAAATAGGAATAACTCGAAGTATATTGAGGAGCATGAAAAAGATGTTGCTTGTTTCAATCTAGATTATTCACCGGGCATATAATCCATTCTAAGTTAAT